TCGATCCAGCGAACTTTTACAACCCTCCCAATACCTTTTGCAGGCCTACCCACGCTGCGCCTTCCGGTGCGCGATCGTCACAAATAATAGCCATTACATATTCCAACATTTCTAGGCCACCAAGCTTAAAAGCATTCCAAAATTGATTAGAGCTATTCTCGTGATATAGGTTTAAATAATATGCATATTTGTCAATTTGGAAGCATAATGTTCAATATTCATGATTGTAACTTTAAAAATGGATCGTATCAAATAGTGATTTATTAAAATCTATTATATTATAGATTTTACCATTGTAAGCATCAAGTTAATTTATATAAAATTCATTGAAAAATATTAAAGACTGAGACTCCTAGATAAAGCCGTAGAAACTAGATCCGAGATTTACTATCGAACTGTTCTGATTAGAACTGCGTTTCTATGCGATTTTCAAACAGTAAAAAGTGTGTCACGCAATTGAATTAGTTTAAAATTTCGAAAGTTAAATAAAAAAATTAATAATATTAAAATAATATTAATAAATAATAAGAATAATAATTTAATAACTAAAATATATTATTAAAAGGAGTCCCTTTAGGCAAGGTTCCGAAGATACTGGCAGCGTTCCCCCTTTGAATAGCTAGACTAATTCTTTGTCCAAGGTAGCTGCCAGCTCTTCGGTCTCCTGTGGTGTCGACTAACCTTTTTGCTATTTCCTTAAAAAGACTTATAGCGTTAGAATTGTATAAAAAAATTGTATTATCGTTTGTATGACCTAATTGGCATAATGGCATTACTTTGAATTGTTGAAGTAAAACAACTACTCTGTACCCAAATATTATGAATTATAATCCACATGATGCAAGTTACCTTGAATGATTTGCAAATATTTTGATGATGCCACACCGCCCTAAATAAATGATTCCATAATAAAATATTTGATTAGATTAGGGCACGACCAATTGGCAGTTACTGTTACAGTTACTGTTGGTAGGACTATACTTGAGACCTTAGAACTTATATCTCAAGGTGGGTAGCGCATTTACGTTGTAGATGTCTATGGGCTCCAGTAACCACTTAACACCAGTCTTGCCTTAGTTCCACTGCCAATGTGTTTTTTTTTTTAATTAATTGAGTAATCTGTTATTGCTACACGTGTTCTAAAGAAACATTAACTACAAGAGTTTTCAATAATGGTATTGTTCGATATATCGATTTTAAACAAAGTTTATGTACAACGTGTCACAGTACCCGTGTGTGTCCAACGCTGGTTTGCAATTACCAGTTCGCTAGTTTCAATAAAACGGGGTATGTGCATTGTATTTGTTCTTCGTGTGAAAGTCAATGTTTTTAATACGCTTTTATTAGCTTCAGACGTATGTATGTTTGTAACGGAATCTTTGAACATGATTTTGACTCCCTTTAAAACGTCGGATTAACTCGAAATTTGGTATACTTATTAAGGACCGATGATAATTCAATATTTAAAATATATATTGAAAAAATTTAAATTCAACTAAAAAATGAAAAGTAAATACTAGTTTAAAAAAACTAACAAAATACGCTTTTATAGAAAATCCATTTAAAAAATAGAAAATTAATTTTAATAAATATGAATTAAAAATAGTGTAAGAAAAAATGATTTTATTGTAAAAAAGCGTTTTTTTAAACTATTATTTTAATGTCTTCCCTACATATTCGCTGGTAACCTAAGAGGCTATTCCAGTTACGCCCGGACGGATAGGTGAGCTCGCGGGCTCAACTTGAAAGAATTTGCTAACACTAGCCGTAGCAAGAGCAGTGTTTCTCAGAATCTACCACTGGATCGGAAACGCGACCCACTGAGAAGAACCAGCAAGAAACTCAGTGACCAAGTCAATGTGTGCAGATGAGCAGACCACTGCCTCGGTGTAAAGACATAATGACGTTTACAAAACAAGCGTCCAGGATCGTCCGCCTTTGTCAAAGTCTAAATTTGCATGTTTCCAATACACAGTTCGGTACGTCTTGCTGTACAAATTAATTTAGCATGCCTTAAACTAGCTTCAGTACTATATCTAATGGTAGAAGGCGTAAGCCCGCACGGATATAAACTATTATCCTCGTACACGTCGAACTGGGCAAAGAGTTCGACATGCAACCTAACCTAAACATCAGCCCACTGAGTTTCTCGCCGGATCTTCTCAGCGGGTCGCGATTCCGATCCGGTAGTAGATTTATTCGCGAAGCACCTGCTCTTGAGTTGTTACGTCTCCTTTGGAGGCGCTCGGGTAGCTGTTAACAAATCCCACCCCTTCTGGCTGAGTTCGTGCGAGCCCATCTATCCTGGTGAAGCTTGAAGGACCTCCGGGCCACCAGTAATCCTTCAATCTAAAAAAAAAACATCCTGTTTATTTCTACTTCGAAACAGTGGAGGGCACAGGCATCATGACGGCATACACGCTCTGATATTTATATGTTTCGGTAACACATATTACACATCATCAAAGCAAAAAAACATTAAATAAAAAACCCACATACTACACTGATTTCACATAAGTCTCGGTATTGTGGGCATTATATATTTGAAGGTGCCTAAGTACCGCTACAGAAATGTTGGGTAATCTTTATTCGGGTGACGTGTAGAGTGAATATTGATTGAGCAGAGTACAACTTGGTACTTGTAAAGCCAACATCGACAGTTGAGGTTCTTTATAATGACGAGAGATGATTTGTAGATAATGTGTTTAAGCTTTTTTTTCTATCAGAATTAATAGTGGTGATAACAGAGCACAAGCTCACAGTGACGATGCGATTATGTCAGTAGAGCCAAAAGTATGGTATCGCACCAAGTTCACTACCTATTCTTTATATTCGTTGAGCGAATGTTGGCTCATTAGATGAACGGATATAAAATATCTTTCCCTACAAAAATCGCAAGATCCAGCATCGATATTCACCGTGTCTAAGGTTTTAGAGACTGGTTCGTTTGTTGCTATCCACGTGACGACTCCCGCCAATTTACATCCAGTGATTACGCAAGCTGTAAGTTTCCAAGGGCTTGATTGGATTACGCGATGGTATTTCGTCGTGTATTAGTACTTGCCACATGATCAGACCGCGACCTAATCACAAGACGACGACTACGTCAGTCTTCTTACTTATTATTAGGCCACGGTTGCTTCAGAATGTTAACCTAAGGCATGTAATTCCGCGAATGCTTTTTGCAATGGCTTTGTTCTTTAACTATGTAGCATTAGTTGTCTATATACTTCTTGAAGTTTTTGTTTCTCGATAGTGTCTGCAGTGTAGTGCAACCCTCTCTTTATTGGTTTTGCGGGTAGATGAGCATACTGATGTTAATTAGGCACCATTGCTTATGTACATTAAAATGCTAAGAATTAAGCATCATTGTTTGAAGAAGAATACCTATGTCATAACGCTCGGAAAAACTATGGTAGGATCTTCATTCCAAAGCTGGATGATGCGTGGCAGAAAAGATCTCTGAATACACACTGAGGATGAACTCTGTTCCGGCGGCTTTTTTTTATTGTCTTTGTAGGCAGACGAGCATACGGCCCACCTGATGGTAAGTGGTCACCGTCGCTCATGGACGACAGCAATGCCAGGGGCAGAGCCTAGCCGCTGCCTACCTTTAAAGGCTCCGATTACTTTGCCCTTCAGATCGAAACATACAATTGCTTTGTGTCAGGAGTAGACAGGGTGCCGATACCTCAACCTGTCCGGTTTAATACTCGTATTGTCTTGAGAACTTTATTACTTGCCATACGATTTTAAGCCAGGCGGAATAGTTGCAACATCTACTGGTGGTAGGACGACTGATGAGTCCGCAGTGGTAAGTACTATCACCCTGCCTATTTCTGTCGTGAAACAGTAATGAGTTTTGGTTTGAAGGGTGGGACAGCCGTTGTACTGTAAAACTGAGACCTTAGAACTCAGGTCTCAGGTAGGTGGTGGCATTTATGTTGTAGATATCTATCTGGTGCTAGGTGGGTAGTAAGCTCGTCCACACATTTAAGCAACAAACAAAAAACCTAATATCAAACAGATTCATCCGTTAGGTCTTGGACTCTTATAAATGTACACAACTTTTACTTTAACCACTTAGATTTCTTCTTCTTCATAATAATAAAATTTAGAAATTGAAGGTCAATGATTGACTTGCAGACAATAAAGTGTGGGAATGAGATGCTGGAAACAAAGAGTTTCATATTATTATTTATTACGTATTTTTTAAACAAAAATACAAAATGTACTTTTAAAAGTAAAGAACAAAAGATGTGTAATAGTCATTTTAAAAAAGATTAGGCCGGTCAGTGTTCTGCGGATAATACTCTCAACTGTGGCTTTTTTTTTGGAGTCAGTGCACAAAGCCTCAGTTCGCGGACTATGGAAAACAGCTGTCAGCTGTCAATAAACAAGGATTCGAGATGACCACGACTGCTTTGCTAAGAGTAACCGGCTATGATGATGTCGAAGCTAGAGAATTAGACTGATATGTTTTGATTAAGATAAAAAAGATTACTTTAAAATGGGATAATAGTGAGAGTAGTTTCTTCTTCTTCTTGCCCATTAAGGGGCCCACTAGATGTGATCGGCAAGAAATGTAGACATATCCACGTTGTAGCTTGGCATGTTTTACAGTTTATGTTGTGTCGCCTGTCTGGTGCTGCCCCTCCTTGAGGACGATGGGTTACGATAAAAATATTCGACGGCAAGAGACGTTGATCGGAATTGTTACTTTGCCATTTTTTTACTAAATATTAAACACATAATAACGTTTCGATACATTTAATTATATTTTATAATAACGCGGACGCACCAGTTTGTTTATTCTTGAATTTTACAAATGGCTGTATTAAAAAAAAAGTACTACAAATAAAAAAGACAAATGTTAAATAAATAAATTCATAGCTCATTTCATTTATTTTAGCTTTTGAACTATTTAAAAAATAGTAAGGCCATTTGTAGTAGCCAATCTTTGGCAAAAAACAGTGATTTTGATCAAATTTTATTGACAGATCAATAGCGACAATAAAACCTCAGGCCAACGTGTAAACAACGACAATAATTAGTTATGTAAGCGACAAAAAAAACCAGTGGTAAAATCAAACGAAGCGAAAGTTCAACAAATATGACGTAAAAACGACTCACGGAAATTATGTGAAAGTATTCGTGTTAGTCAACTTGCAAGCCGCGACTAGAGCGCGCGTACGCCGACGACTAAAAAAAAAACATAAGTTGCATATTATAATCTATGCCGAAAGTGATTTGCGCGGGAAGTTTGACAGCTGTCAGGTGGTGAGGTTTCCGAAAAGTAAAACACCGACAGTGTAGTAGTGCAGTCGGTATATTGTGTTATAGAAGGATAAAACCGCCCTCGGGGTTCGGCCAATGGCGCCCAAGTTGCCGCCCCTGCGCGGCCTCGCGCCTCTCTGCGTGATCCTGCTCCTGGCTGTCGGTAAGTCGAATTTTTTCTCAATTCTTGTTATGTTTAAGAAAGTACCCGGAATGATAATGCGGCTTGTGATGGGAATATTTAAAATGATCGCCCTCAAAGATAGCAGTACGCTTGTAACGCTCATAAATTATGTGCTCTGGTGTAATTATATGTTTAACGGTTTTGTATTCATTCTTAGTAGCTTTCTATGGAATAACAGAAGTATGCGATCAGTCTTTTCTCGAAATCTTAACAAGCCACAAAAAAAATATGTCTTTACTTATTAGACAATGTACAATTTTCTTGCTCTGCAATTTTAGAACATTTTATTACATTGAACTCGATTTATAAAAGATTTTTAAATATTTGTTTTTTTTTGACTTTCCTATTCATCTATTCATTGCTAACAAACTATGAAAAGATTGGTACCAAGAACCGCTCTGCAGTACATCTATCCTTCACACGAAGACAATTCTGATCGCGTTAATTAGCTAAAAGAAGTCTTCAATAATATGTATAATCAAAGACACGGTTTTTTTTATTGCTTAGATGGATAGACGAGCTCACAGCCCACCTGGTGCTAAGTGGTTACTGGAGCCCATAGATATCTACAGCATAAATGCGCCACCCACCTTGAGATATAAGTTCTAAGGTCTCAGTATAGTTACAACGGCTACCCCACCCTTCGAACCGAAACGCATTACTGCTTCACGGCGGAAATAGGCGGGGTGGTGGTAGTGGTGGTACCTACCCATGCGGACTCCCAAGAGGTCCCACCACCAGTGGTAACCTATATTGAAGGTCTTCCCATTGTTTTACAAATATATTTTTTCCACAAATGCCATCATATCTCAATGTGCGTTATGTTTTTGGGAACCGGTGTTACACTTAACACGAACAAGGCCATGAGCTAGTCCCATCTAACTTTCTAAAGAGCAATCAACATTACACTGCTTAGTATCAGAGCGGCTTGGGATACTAGACAACCTCGTCTGTGACCTAGATTTGTAAAGTACTCGGCGAGGTTCATCAATAACATTGATTGATCTTTGTAGCTTAACTTTTTTTTTCATATCTATTCTAGTAAGCTCGAGGGGTCATGCTAGATTCAAATCACACATATAAGTTTTAAGGTCTCAGTATAGTTACAGCGGCTGCTCCACCCTTCAAGCCGAAACGCATTACTACTTCACGACAGAAATAGGCAGGGCGGTGGTACCTACCCGTGCGGACTCACAAGAGGTCCTACCACCAGTCATTACGCAAATTATAATTTTGCGGGTTTGATTTTTATTACACGGTGTTATTCCTTCACCGTGGAAATCAATCGTGAACATTTGTTAAGTACGTATTTCATTAAAAAAATTGGTACCCGCCTGAGATTCGAACACTGGTGCATCGCTCAACACGAATGCACCGGACGTCTTATCCTTTAGACCACGGCGACTTCATTACTTAGTCTTATTACTTACATTACTTACACCTCATTACTTACACTAGCTTAACGGGAATAGGTATTTGATATCGTAACATGATGGATATCAGGGTTCCGTACAATAATAATACGTTTTTTATTGCTCTGCAGTCTAAGTTTACGAGATCTGGTGTTAAGTGATTACCGACTCCCATAAACATTCTAATGTGAACGCAGCCTGTTTTGAGATGCAATTCTCAATTTTCAATTCATCGGCTGTTTCGCCCTTCGAAACGGAACCCATGGCTTCATCGCCTTATAAAGAAGTCGAGTGGCGGTAATTAAGTATATTCACAAGCTCGGGACTGTTATATTTTTAAATTGGTTACGTTGTTCGTAATAAATTTTTTTTTATTTTTTTTTTATTGCTTAAATGGGTGGACGAGCTCACAGCCCACCTGGTGTCAAGTGGTTACTGGAGCCCATAGACATCTACAACGTAGACGTGCCACCCACCTTGAGATACAAGTTCTAAAATCTCAGTATAGTTACAACGGCTGCTCCACCCTTCAAACTGAAACGCATTACTGCTTCACGGCAGAAATAGGCAGGGCGGTGGTACCTACCCGTGCGGACTCACAAGTGGTCCTACTACCAGTAATTACGCAAATTATAATTTTGCGGGTTTGATTTCAAGTCAATCGTGAACATTTGTTGAGTAGGTACGTATTATATTTCATTAGAAAAATTGGTACCCGCCTGCGGGATTCGAACACCAGTGCATCGCTTCATCACGAATGCACCGGACGTCTTTAGCCACGACGACTGCAAGTAGTGATCTTATCGTAAGGCAATTAGCAGCTTCCATTTTACATATTAATAATCTGCCCAATTATTAATCAGACGATATGACCCCAGCACCATCCAGCCTCAGTCCGATCTAGTTAGATACTCAACATATTTTTCTACTTATTTCCTCCCCTTGTTTCTTATTTTGAATAAGATTTATATAATCATTGTGCCTATTTCTGCCACAAAGTAATTATGCGCCCCTATCATACACACGCAGGATAGCCGTAATTCCCATGACGTAACGATGACGAGTTTGACGTAATGTCTGAGGGTGAGTGACGTCATTCATATTTGTGGGTTCAGATACCTACATAACACCTATTGTGAGTTTGTCTACCCTTTTTATCGTCCGAGATTATACTCCATCTGATCTTGAACAACAAATGATGTTGTTATACAGATGGAATTACGACCTTACGGTGCCTTACGACGAGCCTTAAGGTGCGTGATGACATTCACGTTCTGATGTCTATAAGTTCCGGTAGCTACACTAGTAGGGCTTTGAGCTTATTCAGTCAGCAACGAAAAATAAATAATAGTTTAAAAAAATAACAAAATACGCTTTTATAGAAAATCCAACTAAAAAATAGAAAATAAATTTTAATAAATTTGAATTAAAAATAGTGCAAGAAAAAATTATTTTATTGTAAAAAAGCGCGGGGTGCTTTTCAGGATATTATCAAAATAACCCTTCTACTCATCTGTTCATAAAATATTTATAACTACTGATACCATGCATCCCACGTTAAAGCGTATTTTGTTAGTTTTTTTAAACTATTGTTTATTTTTCATTTTTTATATGAATTTCAATTTTTTCAGTTTTTTTCTTCATATTGAATTGTCATCGGTCCTTAATAAGTATACCAAATTTCGAGTTAATCCGACGTTTTGAAGGGGGTCAAAATCATGTTCAAAGATTCCGTTACAAACATACGTCTGAAGCTAATAAAAGCGTATTAAAAAAAATAGCCTCCGCATCTTTCAAGCCGAAACGCGTGACTGATTCGCAGAAATGGGTAAAACAGCAATACCTAGCCGTGTCGGTTGAAGCATCTCTCTCTCTAGTCCAGTAATTACACTAATTCATAAATTTTACGGGTTTGATTTTTAGAACACGTTGTTATTGATGTGATGTCGTCATGGAAGTCATTCGTCAATACCTCTTCGATTATTATATAATACGTAAATTGTTTGTATATCAATGTTACCTTTCTTCTTCTTCTTCTCAGTCGTGTCACTCTTGACAGAGTGGTCGTGATCGTCATGTAGTGTTGGAAGGGGCAGACTTGATGCGTCTCACGATGTCGCGCCATCTCTCCCTGCTCGAGTGCAGTAGAATGTTACCTTAAAAATATGAAGATAGCGCGTTTACATTAGATCCTTTAGGGGCCATCCATAAAGTACGTCACACGTTAATGGGGAGGGAGGGTATCACCGAAGTGTGACATCGTGTGACAAGGGGCATGGGGGGGTCAATACTTTTGTGACGTCACATGTTAAAATTTAAAATACTAAATCGCAAAGTTTGTATGTGAATTAAAAATTTAAAAAATTTACAAACTTGATCTATATTTATTAATAATTTAGCATTCTCGCTGAAAATAGCTGTTTTCTCTCGATTATTTTTAAATACATACATAAATTTAAAAAATGTGTGACGTCACATCAGGAGGGGGGGTTATAAAAATGTGACAACCTGTGACAAGGAGGGGGGGAGGGGTTCAANTGTATTATGCTATTATTTTTACCAGAAAATGTAACTAAACAAACATTTTAGTGATTTACTTTAAAATGGCTCTATTTTTGTTAATCGTTTAGAAGAAAAGATAAGAAATGCATCAGTTATGTACCCTTCCGTGGACCGTTTCCAGTTGACGTTCATATGTTTATGAACGAATTAAAAATACATTTACCGAAAAATTTGTCGTATTTTTTATTACTTACATTACTTATATCTTATTATCATTAATTAACGATATTGTAAAAAATTATCAATTTAAATAGACGTACTATCACACATAAACCTATTGTTATCATTAGATCCGACTCCTTCCGTGGTCTCATTAAAATACGTATTCGATACTGAATAATCGAAACGCATCTTGGCTTTATTTATTTGTGTTGGCAACACNAGATCCGACTCCTTCCGTGGTCTCATTAAAATACGTATTCGATACTGAATAATCGAAACGCATCTTGGCTTTATTTATTTGTGTTGGCAACACTTTTTAGCTGTCAGTTAAAACTTTTATGTCAGTGCGGTGCATGTGCGCTGCGTAAAAATAAAACAAAGTTTTATTAAAATAAATGTTTGTCGATAATTTACGTCAAAGATCGTTGTGACTTTTCTGTTACATTGATATTTTGGTAAGTATTTTCATAAAAAATAGTTGCGTTATATATCCTAGTGAGATATCGTCGGCCATTAATAAAATGCACGTGAGTTTTTTACTAACCTCAATTTTTTTTATTTTGCATCGCTATATATAACCTATTTTCTCTTCCGTAGACAATCTTTTCAGTGGACTCTATGCCCACCGAAGGGTAAGCGTCCACGGAATTGAGTCCTATTAATATTTGATACTTTTAAGATGAACATTTTGAATTAAATTAATACTTTTGGTGTTGCTTGGTGCTTTAATAAACATGTAAATATTATATCACTATTTTTTAAACTTATTATATGTATATGGTGTATAAACTATTTATGTACCGCCAAATTGATAAAGTTAAGGAAATGAAACCCAAGTAGTAG